CCATGGAGTTTAAGAATAGAATGCTTTCTCTTTATGTAACTGTGGTGTTCATTCTTTCTTATTCCTTCTGATGAAGTTCTCAGGCAGGATGTGGACAGGAACACCGACTGACTTCCGCTGCTCACACTTGGGTCCCAGCGTTCGACCGTGCGTGATTTCCTTCCTGTGCTCTGACAGACCCGCCCGTTCGCTCGGGGTATACCCTCATACTTAGAAACAGCATTTTGTTTTGCTTGAATTTTTGAACTCAGGGTAGAACTTTGCTTCTACAACACTGATGCTCAGTGGAGCAGCAATACTTCCTTTTTTCCCCTCTCACAAAACAAGCCCAGGATGCCTTTACTACCCCACACAAAAATGGACCATTTAAGAACAAATCAGTTCTTAATCTGTTGCTAAATAGTAATTATGAGACTTGGATAATAATGTGTATCCCTGAACATGAGCATAATGGGAACGTGTTTTCAGAAAATTGATGGAGATTCTGGATATGAAAGATGCAGAGTTGATATCCTAAATTAAGTTTAAAAATTGGCTAAAAGAGCCCTGATATGAAATTGGGTTTCATGGTGTAATCTCAGCGGTGGGAAAGAGGCGTACTAACATTCCATCAAGCCTTCATTAGAATTCCTTGTAACTTTGCTCTAAATGTAGCATCTCAGAAAATTGTGCACAATCCGTCCCATGAATCAGAATCCAATTATTGTATTGTTTCATTCTTTTACCCAAGAGAGCTCCATAAATTATTTTTACTTGCTCCTTTTTATTTTAAATTAACAGGGTCTGCCAAGTGTACAACATTTCCCATGAAAACATCACTTCCTTTAATTGGTATAATTACTTAATAAAGAGATAAACCACAGCATGATTCAACAATCCCTGGGTTTTTAAAATCTAATTGTGTTCAAAACACAATATTTTATTCTTAGTGATCTTAAAAAGGGCATAAACTTGAACAGAGCCCAGACATTTATAATAAAGGAATTGGGGAGAACAGAGAGTTAATTGGTGCCCAGAGTACTGCCTCTGTTCACAGCCTCAGAGAGAAAGCTTTGTACCAAGTCATGAAGGGTGTAGGAAGGTTTGGGCAGGTTTGGACCCATTAGCCTGAGTTGGAAGCCTGGTGCCCAAGGTGGAGAGTGAGGTTCAATCCTGAGCTACCAGCTTCTCCAGCCTGGTCCAGGACCCAGGCCACCTAGTGGGCAGACAGGATGCCCCGGTCCCAGATTTTCCTCTTGCTGCAGAAGCGGGTGCAGAGGGAGACGGAGAGGCAGAGGGCACAGGCACGACCTCCAGTATCTGTTTGAACAGGAGATTTCTTTCATCCATTTCACATTTGGGGATTCTGCCGTAGACTGCTTTTAGAGAAAGGGGAATCAGCTGTGAACGTTCATTTTTGAAAACCTTTGCCCTATGACACAGTCAGGCACTGTCTCTGTATCAAAGGGAAGATGACTAAGAATATAAGAAAAGCAGCCGCTGGAACACACCAGTGAGGCCAAACAGCACCGTGCCACCTGAGCACCACGTCCCAAACTCTGCGCTCCACGTCCCAAACTCTGTGCCTGCCTTCAGTGTTAATTCTAAATGTGGTTAAAAAGAAACACTAA